ATAAATATATATATATATATACACACACACATGAAATCACACAGAGGAGGCCTCATTGGTAGGGGGGCCTGAGTATTTCAGATCCTGTAAATTTTTGGCCTTAGTATCCTGTATCGGGATAATTTAATCTTTCAAAAGCTAAAAAGATTTTTACTAGATATCCTGGGTTATCTGCTCCAAGTATCCCACGTCTCATTAATCTTTCTCCCAAATATAAGGGGCACCCAACGACCGTTTTCTCTCAAATGCTTTTAAACGCTGTTTTAGGCTATCTGGAATACTTTTAAAGCTCTGTGTGTTAATTTTAGGTTGCGCTAAAAAATTTTTTTATCTGTTCGGTTATTCTAGGGGAACTTGAGTATTCTTGAATTTATTAGGGCTTTTTTGTCCATTCCCCGAAAACCTTAGGTCTTATCGCCTTTCCGAAAATGATAGCTGACCTTTTTTCGGTACCCAAAGCAACATTTTTTATAATTTGAAAACAACAGACATTAAATTTCTCATATCACGAAAGTTCGAGGTGACAATTCTCTTCAGAAAATCAGAGGGGATTAAAGGCCTTCTGAACAGAAAATTTACCGAAACGATCCGTTGGGTGCCCCTGAAATGTGATGTATCCAGGTACATTTTTTTACCTGAATATCCCATCCCAAAAATAGGGCCTCATGAGGGTGCAAGAGCTGTGAGAAAAGTTTGTGCAATTAAGACTTAGGGGTGAATTTTTCAGCTTGGGATGTGATCTTGCTTAAGACCTATTTACACTGAGTTCAATTTTAGCCAAAAGCCATCATTAAAACAGTAGCCTAAGGCTCATTATTATTATTCTCATTGTCTTTGCTGTATTTGTGGTAACTGACAGAGATTTTCCTTACACCTTCACTGTACTGTGTGGGCTGGTGACTTAGTTCAGGAATAATTATTCTTGGTGTTGTTTAGAAAAAACGTTTTAATTCAAAGTTATTTCAGATGCCCTATTTACAATTTTAATGAGAGGTGGTAATTTGAGTAATTGCAAGTTATCAAACTACTCTTTTGCCACTGAGTGAAGGACACTATTTTCTTGGTTAAATGCCAACATTTGTCAGCTGAATCCAGTATAATATAAGGTTTTTTTTGATGTGTTCTAGTTGTAAAACGTAGTTTCAGCCGGTTCCCTAGTACAAAAGTTGTTAATTACCACCAGTGACTATATGTTATGTCTAGGCCAATATCGTTAGTATAGTATACCTAATTTGAAATCAAGAAACGCCCTGAATTGGAGGTTTGCCTGCGCTTATTATAATAATTGAATTTTATAACTTTTCTCGTTTTCGTTTTGTTTTGGCATTGTATGTGTTTTCCTCTATAGTCCTTACAGCTGACCAGTTTGTTTTGGCATTTTCACGATTTGATCTCCCAAGGAAATTAGACGCAAGAAGACTTTAATTGCTCTTAATTTAAACATCATTGCGTGGTTCAGTTAAAACTCCGCGTGATATTTTGTTTACGGTCGCATTTGTTCCTTTGTGTGTCAGAGAATAGAACGGCGAGGTAAAAGTGATAGCATGCGGTTTTTAATAAAATCCGGGAGTTGTGTGTTACTTTGCGGTGGTTTCACTTGTTTCACAAAACAGCTCTGTAATTGTTGCCATCAGATCGTTAGCACTATGTTGACCGACAACAGCGATTATTAAGATTCGGTTTGTTTTTTGCAGGTCTTGACAATCCAAGTGTGCCAAGTTCTCAAGCTCTTGCCAGTCCACGAAACTCTATATCGGCAGGCAGCGGCAACAGAAACAGTCTGTTCGAAAAGGTCAAAAAGAAAGAGCAAATTGGAATTATCAGAGGTAAATAATTCCCGTAATGCACCCATCGCGCGAGCCGCAAGAATTTCCCTTGTCAGCTTTTCACTATTACTATTGTGCGACGCGGCCTTTGAGAAAGGTACATATTTGATGGCAATCGCTTTTTTGTCAGGGTGTATTAATATTTAATTTTTTCCGTCTCTAGACTCGCCAGTTTATTCCTCACAAGGAAGCTTGAGCCAGCTATCGGCAGCTCAATCCACGCCAAAGAAAAAGCTGTCCCTGGTTGAGAGCGACGAGAAGGACATCACAGACGCGATTCGTAAAATCGAGTCTTCCGTGTCACAGAATTTAGCTACAAGACCCGCCAGCTTCACTAGCAAGACTTTCCACCAGCTTAAAAGTCGCTTTGACAAGGGAATATTTGGCTCGAGTAGGAGAACCTCATCTCCAGATATTTCGGTGAAAGGCAAGAAAATTTCAAGGCGTTTGAGCGACACTTGTACCATGGCGGACATCGCTTCATCTCTTGCATTTGACGGAGGAGTGAACGAAGATCAACAGGAAGCTTCCAATGCTAATAACAATGATTCGGACTTGAAGCAAACCCAGTCCAGAGAAACTGAAGAATTGTTAGTGGGAAAGTCCGCGGCCCCAAGCGAAGACTTGCTAGGGAACGTAACTTTGCAAAAAGACCTTTCACAACCTATCGTTTCGGACGATGTTGACGGATCCGGGCCCAGCGACGATTTTCCCTCTATGCATCACGTAAATGGTTCTAATTGGACTGAGGATTTGCAAAGTGGTCCGATGAATGGGACCGAAAATTACCAAGCTGCGCCTCATGGGGAGAATCTTATAGATATCTCGTCGTTTGATCCTTTTGCTACAGCACCAGACCAGGACGAACTGATTTCGATCGATACTAGTACACCGGAAAAAGTCGAGGAGCAGCCGAAGACCACCGACGGGTTTGAACAAATTTCATCTGAGCCAGACGAAACTGAGGTTGCATCTACACCTCGGATTGACCTGGGAGACTTACTAGCGGACTCACAATCGGCGGAAACAAAGACAGAAGAAATTACGGTCGAGTCTTCACCTCCGGTTATTCTGGAGGACTTGATACCGGACAAAGAATTGGGTGAGTCTACAGAAGCTCGGATGGAAGACAGTTTGATCGAGTCTCCGCACACGACGGCTGAAGAACACACAATGCCTGAAGCACAGTTGCCTGAAGTTGCAGAAGGAGATGTTACGAACTCCTTTGAAGAAATCCACACGGCAGAAGAAGTAAAACGCGACGAAACTGTCCTGAATGACAACTTACAAGAAGTCCCGTCCATTGCGGTAGATCCTGCTTTGGAATCTGAGTTGGATTCTCCAAAACTTGGGCAAGAAGCTGCCAAAGTCGAAGAGCCCATTCCCAGTGAGGAACCTCTGGTCGACTTGGAAGGAGAAAGTAATGAAGCTTCTCGTGTGTGTGACGAGACAACCACGCAGGAACAAAGCTCGGAAGAAATTGTTACAATAGTCGAGAGCGTTTCAGTGGAGGTGGACGAGGGGAAGGAGGAAGCTAAGTCCGTGGAAGAAGAGTTCAAGCCTGTACAGGATGAAGCCGAGCCCTTACGGGAAGAAGCTAAGACTAAAGAGGAAGACGCCAAGCCCGTAGAGGATGAAGCCAAACCTGTTGAGGAAGAGGCCAAGCCTGTAGAAGATGAAGCCAAACTTGTTGAAGAAGAGGCCAAGCCTGTAGATGATGAAGCCAAACTTGTTGAAGATGAGTCCAAGCCTGTAGAGGATGAAGCCAAACTTGTTGAGGAAGAGGCCAAGCCTGTAGAGCATGAAGCCAAGCTTGTTGAGGAAGAAGCCAAGCCTGCGGAGGTTGAACCTAAGCTTGTTGAAGAACAGGCCAAGCCTGAAGAGACAGAGGTGAAGTTTGTGGAGGAAGAAGTTAAGTCAGTAGAGACAGAAGTTAAGCCTGCGGAGACAGAAGCCAAGCCTGCAGAAACAGTAAAGCCTTCGAAAGGCGAGGCTCTTAAAACGGAGAAACACGCTCAAAAAGGTACAAAAACAAAACCTCATTCAGCTACCGCAACGACGAAGTCTCCCCCTAAAGCAGCCCCGGCGGCAAAACCAACTGCAACGAAGAAACCAACAGGACCTGCAAGCACGTCATCATCTACGAAGGCGCCCTCCACTTTAGCGACGAAAAGAGACATCAAACCTCCAGCTACCAAGGCTTCTTTTGCTGCTAAAGCCCCAGCCACGAAGACGACAACTTCAACGGTTCCTGGTGTTAAGAAGCCCGCAGCTAAAACCACAGCGGCGAAGGCAGACCAGGAAAAGAAACCAGAGAGGCCCAAGAGTGCTGCGACAGCTCGCCCCCCGATGAAATCAGCGGCTACCAGTACTACGGGCACGGCTCGACCTGCTAGTGCGGTTACAAAGAAACCTCCTGCTTCTACCTCGAAACCAGGTAGCGCTAAGGTCCCAGGTAAAGACGTGAAGGATGCTGGTCCACCGAAAAGTGCGCCAAAGACGACAACTTCCAGACCAACTTCTGCCAAACCAACGCCTTTGAAAACAAGCGCACCTGCAACGAAACCCGCTGCTGCAAAACCAAGCCGACCTCAGAGTGCAAAGCCTGGCGACAAAACAGACGGTGCCGCTAAGCAACCTACTTCACGACCGCAAAGTGCGAAACCAAAACCAACCACTACAACAACGACCGTGAAAAAGACGACCTCTTCAACTAAGAGTGGTGTCGCTCCTGTGAAGACTGCTACCACCAGAACGGTGACTCAAGTGAAGAGCGGTGATAAGAAAACTACTACGACCACCACTAAGAAAGAAACCACGAGGCCATCTTCGGCTGCTAAGAATGCTACCGGTGCCAAATCCACGGTGACTGGCCCAAAATCGGCAAAGCCTAGCGGGAAACCGAACGCTGGGACTCCAACCGGGAAACCGTCTGCGAAAGCTGCTCCCAAGAAAAAGGCGGAACAACCAACGAAAGAAAAGGAGACGAAGGAGGACGAGAAACCGGCATCTCAGCCAGGAACCGCTGACGAACCCACTATTCCGACCAACGAGAAGCATTCTGAAGTTGTCGAGATTATCCCTGACGAGAAACCTGCTGAAGTTGTCGAATCGGTTTCAGAAGGAAGTCCAGTCGAAACAAGCCCCGAAGAGAAATCGATTGAATTAAACCCCGAATCAGCTCCAGCCGAACAAGATGCCGGGACAGTTGAAGTTCCTCTGGAAGGCGTAGAACAATCAAATGTCGTCACACAGATCGTCACGTCCCAAACGACGACTATCATCGCTGATGGCGAAGAACAATCGATTACTACAATGGAAGAAACTACATTTGAACAGACTGTGGGAGAAAGTTGAAAGTACTGTTTGTCTAGAACTTTGAATTAATCCAAAGACCGGAAAAATGGCTAGTATAGGGTTAATCTAGACGAGCGAATTCTAATTCAAAGCAAGATCGGTTCCCCTGTAGGAAGAAATTATGAAGTGCTTAGAGAGAAAAGGAGGAAGAAGTCATATGCAAACTAGTGCACATGCTTTAATGTCAGTTCAAATAATGAAGCTCTTAAGCTTAAAACGAAGTTTTGATTTTTGCACGTGACCCCAAAGAAGTTCCCTTCAATTCGATTTCCTTGAGAAAATATTTTTTAGTGTGGTAACCCCGACAAAGGGTCATAGGGGTGAGTGAGAAAGAGTCTTCTTTCAACCGCGTGACTTGTTGTGAAAACGGGGAAGGCGCTGAAGGCAGACAACTAGAAATTAGTAAAGGTGCAAAACAGGCGTAAAATTTCCTAAAGCAGTTTTTTCATTACCCAATGAGGTGGAAAGGTCATCTGTAATTTCACACCCTCGCTATTTATATTGAGTGTTTTCCTTATACCCAGTCTACCTCGCAGCCGTTAAGTTGGGTCGTCATTCGACGCCTACCGTGAGCATTTCTTCGCAACACGGTAGTTGCTTTAGGTGAAAGATTACTTGTCACGGTCAGGAGTTTAAAATGTCCTTATTTACAGAAAGATTTACACAACTTCGTTAAACTTAAGCCATGGTAGGTCATCTAAGTATACCGTAAAAAGGAGATATTTCACACAGGAGAACATTTATTGTCTGCGTGCTTTCTCTGCAGCCAAAGAAAGTGTTCATAGTCTTTGTGCTTTGGGTGTTTCTGTATAAATTAAATGTCTTCCTCTATTGAATTATTGAATTGACACTATTTAAGAACACTTTTCCAATCCATTGAAACAACTTTGTCACCCGGTCATTATCTAAGAGAGTTCTCAGAATCTAACCTTGTGAACACGTTTCAAGAAAAAGTAAGCTAAAATGTAGAAGTGAGGTATTTTGCGTTTTTTGTAAATAAGGGAAAAAGAAGAAAACAAGATTTCGTAAAATGATTAGAGAAAATAAAAAGTTAATTTAGACAGTTCTCTTCAGGTTCCTTGCTTTTTTTCTGCTTCATTTTCCTCTGTATCCAGCACGGAAGAGAAGGTGCGAAGGCGTTGCTTCAGATCTTCATCTCTCGACTTACCAGGACTGGTCCGTACCACGTGACCCCAAACGTAACATAATTTCGCGAGCAAATTTGGTGTTACTGTTGATTGGCTGTTGTGTTTTGATGGACTATCTGGATATTAATTATTGAAAATTTTGATGAGAAGTTGTGGTACATGGCTGGTTTGAACGCTCAGACTAAGTGCTGTGTTGATCCAGAACTTCCAATTTCTAAGTATTACTTCAAACTTCACAGTTGAGAAAAGGCCCTCTTTGTGTGTTTCCAATTGCATGATGTGCGTTACCAGTAGATACTCCCGTAAATTTCGGGTAGATGTGTGCCGCGAATGGTTTTTAACAAGGGACAGCCCTATAAAAGGCATAGCTCCTTCCCCATCCGCTCCCGCCTTTGTCACGCAATCTTTGTTTCGTTGTCCTAATCAAAGGAAACGCAAATTTAGAGCCTATGTAAGGCACAAACCCGAAAAATGACACCCTGTCCAAGGAGAAAAAAGTAAGAATGGCTTGAGCGATTCAACCTTATTTCGTTTCTGTAACATTGAAGTTAAGCATCAAACGTATAATTTATTTTTCGTTTAGCTGGGCATTTATGCACTGGAATTTCTGCTGGTACATTCAGGTATCCTATCTATGGATCACACTAGGAGCACAATGCCAACAGGGGAAAAAATGATATCCTATTAAAGATCGGGAACCTCAAAAACCATACCCTATCACGCGGCACATACCTATCTAGCCAATATATGGGAATTCACCCCCCCCCCCCCCNGTACGTAACTAAATGTCAATCAAAGCTATTTACTAAATCAAACGACAATCAAATGTTAATTGTTCAAATATTAACGGAACAAAAACCATACCCTTCACAGTGGCACATACCTATATAGCCAATATATGGCACCCCCCCCCCCCCGGTGCGTTACCACTCGAATGTTGTTCATTTCCGTTAAGCTGGTGTGCGTTACCACCTGAATGGTGTGTCTTGTGGATTGGTTCCTCTTAGTCTCAATGCCAAGTCTGTTGGTGAACTATCTGGTATTGCATAAGGACCGGAAGTAAGGGCTTGGTACTGGCTATCGTCATCCTCCCTTCCGGTCAAGACCACGTCACGCAGTTCCGGAAACTCGTGAAACGGGAGGTAGGCTTCACCATAGGGTAAACCTGCGTCCTTCCTCATGGTGGTCGTTTCAAATGAGGTTTCATGTTCTTCCCAGTGTCTGTCGCATGCACAACACAGAAAATTCGAGAAAAATTTGGAGCATCCGCAGCCTCGGACCCGGCATGTCCGGAGTCCGGTAGGTTGATGCTCTTCATGGGTATGTTTACACTTACACTTGGCTCGCCAGATGCTCGGATCATATCCCGGGCGGCGTTGGAACCAAAATTCACCTGCTTCTTCGGGACGGGACGGGATGAAGGCGAAAGCTTTACACTCGCAGCGTGTCACACCACAAGGGACCATCACGCTTTTTCCAGTGTAACTCGCATGATCACTCAATACATGACCACAGAAACACTTCGAACTTTTACAGACACGAATACAATCATGTTGAAACTCGGAACACCTCCAACCTATATACACTCCACTCTGAATGGCATCTATCGCCGCCTCGCGTTCGGGATCAAACAGCTTCTTGACTCTCGGTGCAAAATCATCGCCGTTCATAGCTCTAGCTACTGGCAGTAACTCTGGTTTAGAAGCGGGGATGATTGGACGCATGGTATAACCTTTAGGTGCCAACATACCCTTCGATTTCGGAACTACAGCTCTTTGTGGCTTCTGCTGCTCTGCAGCCTGCTGCTGCGATGGTCGCCCACGTCTTGGATTCAACTTCGGTGATTTCTGAACTGCGCTGGTTCTTGGCTTGATACCCGGTATACCCGAGTATCTTGAATATCGATTACCAGCTACCGGACTGCGCTCCCTCTGAATTAACGATTTACTTTCCTCAGAGGAGCCTCTCGTCTCAAGGGTAAGATTGCTGAGCGTCTTCTCGAGAGGATCGCTTGGAGAAGCGGATTTAGACTTTTTGTTTTGTTTCAGTCGCGACGTTTCTGCGTACGCCATTTTGAGTAGCAACAAGGGCACGCGCGCAAGCAATCCATGATGGTCAGCGCGATTGTTAGACACATCATGCCGCTTACATGGAGAGTAAATTTTGGCTAGTCACGCATCAGGTTGCATCGAGACGCCACAGCTGACTATAAACTTAGAAGTACAGTCTTGTCCAGTCTCGGGAATCCTCGTTGAAAATGGGTGGAATGCATTTTGACTAGCGATGTATTAAACTGTATTACAATTACGACCAGGTAAACTGTGATATTCAAACACGCCTGTTGTGACTTTAGCTTAAAAATACCAATGTTGGATGTAAATATTTTTCACAGGAGTCGCAATCTTCCTTTCTTTGACATGTTTGTGGTTTTTCGAATGTTATCTCCATCTAAGTAGTTCCAACAAAAGGGCTAGTTTTGATATATACCACAAGAAGTTCATTTCGTGCTTGCAGACTATTTTTTAAAATAATAATAATGCTCTCGTGTAACGTTTCTCTCAGCCTTTTGAAACAGTTTGCGTGACTGCTTTCAACACATGCGGACACATGGTACAGACGCAGACAAAATTAAGCTTAAATTTATGAAAATCAAAATGAATACTGCATAGTGCCTTGAACTAGAAAGATAAACTAAATTTGGGGGCTGTAATATGTCTAATATGTCAGACCAAGTAACCAACATTTCAGCATTAAGTACTGCCTTTTTCCGGTTTTAAAGTGCCACTGAAACGAAATTTTCGTAGTCTCTTTTTTTATCCCAATCTATAGTTTCAAACGTGCTTAAAGTAATGGTGAACTTTATTTCTGC